ATATATGATCTGACCGTTCACTGTCTTATTACCTACCACGTGGCAATCAGATTCTAATAATCAAGAATACACTGTAATTCCACTTTTGTTGACTAAGCACATAGTGGAATAGTATTGCTTACTGGAATTCGCTTGGAACATAATTTATCGTTAATAATCATATCAAGATAAATACACAAGTTTGAGATATCTTTTACGTAGTCCTAATTTTCTCGCCCTCTTTGTGATATGAGTAGTAGAATTTTCCATATATCCTGAACAGATGCTGAGTCACTCCTGTTGCATGCACTAGATGTTGAGTCGATGAACGAAAATTCAATTTTCAATCTTTCCCTCCACTCTGCTATGTTAGTTTCAACGATTTTCACCATGTCGCATCCGTTTTTGTGGTTGTGTGTAATCTCATGCATAGCTATGGCTGAGATTTTCTAAAATTTCTTAGCTTACTAAGAACTACGAATTTTGACCTAGATCGGTTTTCGTCCTGGGATGGCCTAATTGACCCTGGGTGACTAGTTTGACCAATGTATATGATCTGACAGTCGTTGCAAGGGATTTTTTAAACTAGGTTGTTCTGCTAAACTGGATCAAAAGGATCTTTTAACCTACAAAGCTTACTTCCAAATGCCATTCTAAACGCAACCGTATTGATAATCTTACATGTTGTTTCTTAGGTGCCTTCTTTGTATGGTAATACGGTAGATGTTTTGAATTCTTTCTTCACAGTATTGCCACTTCTATTATCAATACTAGTATTACTACTATTACTACGGTTATTATTACAATAATCATCGCTATTATTACTAATATTATTACCAACATTAATATCTGTGTTACTGATATTCTTCCTACGATTCATAAGGAACTTATAAATTGATTTCGAAAGTAATTACTGATGAGTAGGTTGCCTTTAATTTATCTAGTTTCTTGCCTTGGATCTTCTTTTTCACTAGTACGTTTTTGGCCCTGTCACTTTGACACTCTACTGAGCCAACTCTAACTGACATAGTGCGAACGATGTGAAGCCTAAGCAACGATTTCCACTTGAAGGTTTTCTGTGGACACGAGTATAGAAACTTCCATTTCATTTCCTTTTTATTGTGCAATCCAACATCACTGTCCCAAGAACTACTTTCTAATTCGCAGGCGAATTGGATTGCATTTGCTACTAAATTTATGTATGAAAAAACCATGTATATACTCTGATTTCAACACTGTAAACGTGTCATCTACATACTGAAACCATATTTTTGGAGCTGGACTAAATTTTTCAATATCCATCCGTTCCCAACTATCGTTAAATATGTCAGCCACAATAGGGTATATTGGTGATCCCACGGCAACTTCATCTGCTTGTTTGTATATTTTATCCTGAAACCTAAATACTGTGGAGGTAGGGCATAACTGTACTCCTAGCATAATATCATCTACTGGTACCTTAGTTCGTGGTGTAAGCTCATGGTCATTACTGAGCTCTTTTTCAACTACTTCCAGAGCCATGTTCATCAGTATATTAGTATACAAACTAACTACATCAAAACTAACCGTTTTTTCATCATCTAAACGTATGTCATCTAATCTATGCTTCAGGTCATCGGAGTCAGTAAATCACGATTTAGAATGGTTTCTACTTGGACCTACTATGGGTCTAACAGGATAACATGGCTTGTGAATTTTAATAATACCATACATCCTACTGGAATTACATTCTCCACAGTGCACAAGTTTTACTCTTATATTAAGATTGTAATCTTCAAGTAAAAACATCTATTGCCCAACCACTCTATGAAGTTACCTTAGATGCAGAAGCCCAATAATGTTCTTATAATGGACAGTAGTAAACTCAGAACAATAACAATCGCGAAATATCATTCGACAGCTTAATAATGATGAGAAATGGACTAATTTCATTCATATCAGCAAATGAGTAAAAACAGGAACTGTGACTATTGAATCAGTGCCAAACACATTTCCTGAAATGATGTTTTGACGGCTTTTTCAGGTACCTGAAGAATTATATTATACTCATAATGCTGGAAGAAGGAAGGTCAAAACACTAAGAACTAGGTAGAAAAGTTATGTGGTCATCAGCAAAACTTAGAAATAACATAAAATGCTACATCAGATGTAATCCTGGACTATCCTCATATCCCTTATTATGCTGTGCCTATTGAACCTAATGCTCAATAGGGATCTGCCTATTTTGTTTCATACTCCTTCTCTAGATTTCAGTTTGATGTATTAATTTTGAGTGAAAGTATTTTTCTATATTTTCATCTTTGATTTGAGTGATCGGTTAACTTGTAAATGTCAACCTACTTTTAGATATGAGTTCCTCAGGGAATTTATTACTTTTTGTGAGTTGTTTATTAAACACTGATAGTTCACAGTTTCAGTTTTGTTAATGCTTACGAAATATCATATTGCCGTCAGATTTTCAATGTTCAATGGTTAAATTGTATAAAAAAGGTGATGAACAGGTTTAACCAGGATAATCTCAGGGGAATTTATTTTTATTTTAGCAGTGAATAATATGCAAGCAGAATGACAACAAGTAATGTGTTATCTTAGATGTGCACTTCATTGTGTAGAGAACACATTTCCTTTCTGATTCATTATCAACATAAACTGTTTTCATACTGTCCATTTTAATCAGTTCTGATAAACAAGCATATTATCAATGTGACTATCTGAGATAACCGTGGTTTGGGATACTCATATAACTGATACTCGGTGATCACTGAAGGTGAGATGAATACCTTTACAACTGCAGGATTCTGATAAGCTACCACTAGTCATCACTCAGTTTCCGTAATATGAATCTGATAAACCACGGCTATCTCAGTAAGTCACACTGATTATGAGTGTGACTCTCCCACTATCTTATTCAGCTTGATTTGGATTGAGACAAAATGACCTGGCTGGGCTAGTGTAACCATATCAATGTAATCACACTCCTATTAAAATCGGATTTTTATGATCCTGTCATCTCATATTCTTTGTCTTCATTAACAGGAAAATTTTCCGCATCTCTGGTAACCTGCCTGATGCTTTACCAACTGACCTGTGAAATCTCACCTCTGACCAGACCTTAACCTTACTTCAGCCACCAGAGGTTTGCGTGGCTGCCCTCTGGGATCTTGCAGGTCAGTTGGTAAAGCATCAGGCAGGTTACTAAAGATGTGGAAAATTTTCTTGTTATTGAAGGCAAAGAATATGAGATGACAGGTCAAATGCAGTTAGCATACTCTGCTGGTACCGCCTCTGACTAAAGCACTGGTTTACACAAGTTTGAATCTTCGTTGAGGTTGTAGATGCACCCTGCTGACGCGTGTCGAAAAGCAGGAGAAGTAGGCCTAGGGATTACTGCCGATCGCCTCCATCCGACTAAAGAGTGTCCTTCACAAAGATTAGTGATCAGTTAGTTGAAACAGCCATTATGTTTAATAAATCATTATTAAACGCAGAGTGCTTGTTAGTGGCATGAAACAGCTGAATATCTCTAGTAGCCTGGGGAAGTTGATGAATAACATTTTTCTGGTCATCCAGATGTTTTTAAAAAAAATCGTTTTTATGGTTTGATTGGCTGAATTTTTTTGTTTAGTTTTAATGAAATCATATATTGTGTAAACATTTTCTGTATTAACTTTGATTACCAAATGATTTGTCATACTAGGACGAAACAACTGTCCAGTGGTCCTAGGTTTCCTTTGTTCCTTCAACTGATATCAGTCTACGATGAATACCAACTTGAAACATTTCCAAATCCCTACAAATCCCTCAAAATTCAATAACACTGATAATCACTTTATTCCAGACAGTATCTTTAATATCAAGTTCTCAGTGTGATGGTTAAAAATTTACTCCTTGTATAATATTTCAAGTTAGATAACCATCTTAACTAAATGGTGTTTATATTACCAGGATGATAAGCAATAATATACAACGACCAAATGTTTTTAGGTTGTCTAGTTTAAGGGTGCACTACCACCTTGTATGATATTCTTGGGAGTTTTGTTGTTAACCAGCAAAACTATCAGTTGGAGACATTTTTAGGAGGCACAAGATTGCGTTTAACGATAAGCTGACAATTAAATATTTAAAACAAGTACATTAGGAGATATTTGTTTTAATGTATGATGAAAACATTTTGATAGCCTAAATTTTAGGCACACCGAGTAGAAATATTCAAGTTTTGTGCATAATCCTACACTAAGATATTATGAGATTTTAACAACATGATTATTGAACAGCGGCCTGTTTAAACATCGAATATATCTCACGTTAAGTTCTTCCCTGCTACTTGTTTTAATCTTCTAAATACTCTTGCATCTTTTTAAAATATTTTCTAGCTGTCATTTCTCAGACTAAGAATAAAATAAATAAAAAGCTTTACACTGGGTAGGAATGGACGTAGTAATACTCGGAATTAAAAAATAACGCTATTTCTTACATATCTATGTCAAACTGCAGAGTTTTCTACAAGTTGACTGAATTATCACCACCATAATTACACTAAGTTGAGTACAGACACTAATGTAACACCAGTTTTCCGTCTCATACTAGTATCTTTAATACCGCTTTTATTAAAAAATATTGTTAAGGGAGCACATTTGAAATATTACCTGTTAAAAATTTGATAATATATCACACATGTTGTTTGGAATAAAGCGATTATTATTACTATCATTATTATTATTAAGTTGAATAACAGTCAGTTTACTTCATCTAAATTTTTTATGGTGATTAATATATATTTACTGTCCATATACTGAAAAGCCACCAAAAATTGCGTGTCAAACCAATGTTTGAACAATAGATGCAAATTAGTATTTTGTAATTCTTTTTTGTCTGGATAAATTAATAATTTAATGGTCGAGACAAAAGACTAATCGAAATGTCCTATTCATCGAACAGTACGCCTACACAACCGACTCATTTACAAACCAATCAGAAATGATTATAATTATTATAAAATTATGATAGGTTTATATAGCCAAAATTATGATTATGTTAGATTTCACTCATTTCATTTAACACTAAACTTAACTACTTTCAATAAATGCATACAAAAATGCTAATTTTGCATGAATAATCCTTAGAAAGAAAACCTATGGATTTTTTCAATATGAACAATTCCTTAGGTTTATATGTAAATAAATGCAATCAGACGCAAAATTTCTCTCAGTTAATTAGTTCACCGTCGATGATTATATCATTTGGTGTAGCATCTTCAATTAATCTGTGGATGTTTGGTTCATGTTTATTTGTAATAATTATTCTGTCAACCAGTAAGAACAAACGTTTTGATGCAACACGTAAATTTCTAATAAATTTAGCTGTTAATGATATCGGCTTCGCAGTTTTTTTGATGCCGATTTCTATATCCTATATTATCTTAAAAGTGAATTGGATTCCATGTCATATCATATGCCATTTATGGATTATATCTGATGTCTACTTTGGCTCAACAAACATGTTTAATCTAGCTGTTATTGCACTGGATAGAATGATGGCTGTAAATTATGCTGTAAGATATAATCAAATGATGTCGAACACACGTGTACGCCTATTAATCCTACTTATATGGATACTAGCACTTTTAATTACAACACCGCTTTTTGTCAGTCTCCTTTGGAGTCAGACAACCGCCTCCCAACTCTCCGAAGAATCTGTATATCCCTGTTACTATGGAAATAAATGTTCACATTATCCATGTAGTTTGATCAATGTAAGTGTATATATCCGCATATTTATTGTAATAGGTTCAATATATGTGCCAACTGTTTTAATATGCTATTTTTATTTTCATGTATTCTCTAAAGTTGTTGTAAATAAGCGAGGAATCTCAATTGGCCTATTAATTGATAATGAAAGAGTAAATCATAAAAAAAATAATAAAAAAGTTTCCTCTCCAAAAGTCAGTGTAAGTAAGAATAATAATAATGAGAATAAAAATTCTGATGATCAAGAAAATGGCAATAATAACAATGATAATAATAACAGTAGTGACAATGATAAAACCAATAAAACAAACACTAAGTCATCAAATTATGGCCTACTCAGAGTACATGTTGGCGGTAAACCATTTAATATGAATCTTCATACTACAACACCCAATATGAACTATCGTCACAGTAGTAGTACAAATATTAATAATACTAATGATAATGATTTACAACAAGAAACAAACTGGAAAAATAACAAAAACTATGGTTCATCAATAATTATTAATTCATCAACAAATAAATCACCAGAAAAACAACCAAAACTATGCCTAACTACTGGATTAGTAAAAAAAGAACGACATGAATCTGATTGTGGTACATCAACACATAGATGTAATGATCCATTTATATCAGATCTAGTTAAAACAAATTATAAATCAAAGATGAGCAAAAAAAGTTCAAGTACACCATCTGAAATGGTATTCAAAGTGAATAAATGTAAAACAGAGGAAAATATTAGTAAACAACAACAACAACAATATTTGAAGATAAAAATTAAAAATATATTACGTAAACACTCATTTCATAATCTGTCATCAGATAAAAATTTAAAGCCGATCGATCTAATGCAATCAAGACGTTCCACTGGAAAAAATGATAAAGATGCCAAGTTTACTGACTTAAGTACACTACGAAGGTGTGCACTGATGCCATTACATGGAAGTGCAGCTTGTTCATCTATCAGTAATGAATATACATATTCTACACGAAATTCTGAAAATATATCAAATTTGTCTGCAACATATATAACTCCAAGAAATAGTAATCCAATTGATCAATCGATATTATCTAGTGAAGTACCCTTAACATCAGGATCTAATAATAATCCTATTAATTTTAGTAGTTATGGTAGTGATCATATTTATGGATTTAAAATAAAGCATACAATCGAAATAAAAGCTATATGTATGTTTCTCATCAATATCAGTTCAATCATTCTCTGTTGGTTACCATTTTATACATTGATATTATTCACAGATATTATGCCAGATGTATGTCTTTCTTTTACAATTTATGACTTTTTCTATTGGTCAAGATTTTTATGCATAGCATTTAATCCAATTATTTATGGGTCAGCTTCAGAAGATCTACGTAAAGCTTTCAAACGATTCATTCTACATTGTGGTAAAGTGAAAAAAGAGAAAAAAGCTCTAAAACGATTAGTACTAGCTGGTTTAGGCGCAGCTGGTATCCCATATGGGCACAGAATAATAATTCCCCCACAGAGATGTAATAGCGGTAATAGTAGTACTAATAATAAGTCAGTTATACTCAATAAACCACTGATGATACTAACCGATACAGAAGAGAAAGTATAATGTATGATTTGTGTGTATTATAATTTCTTTTTCAAAAACGAAGGACTTGATTATTTTTAAATTTGCTTCGCTAATCATTTGTAATAAACACTGTTCAATGTCCAGTAACAAAGAGTATATTGTACATATATATAAAATTATTCTCGTACAAATTTGATTCATTTTCTGGATATAACAATGTGGTTTCACTCATCAAGTTACAATTTCTTTTTGCTTTAATTACTGTCTCTCAGGTGACAAGCTGAGTAAATGAATCTTTGCCGCAGAATTTAAACCAGGCCCAACTTGGAACTTTTGCGAAAGTATTCAAAAGTTATACGCATACTTTAGCTTGACACCCGATCAAAGATACTTTTAGGTAGTAAATAGTCATATTCTTGATTACGCATATAAATTGCTCTGTCTTAGTTTTTCCCAGAAGACTATTCCATTTATGATTTTAATTGCGTTTATGATGGCATTTAGCACTACTCTACTTATAAATGAATACTGCTGCCATAAACCTCTTATGCAACAGAAAAACTGATATAATGTACCTCTCACATACTTACCTTTGTTTTATTGCTTCGTACCAACTTCTGTTAGGATATGCAGTAACCAAACAACAAGGAAAGGGATGCATAATTGATTATAAGGCCTACAAATATCTTCAGCTCATATATATTCTTGAATGTATATTGTTTTGTGTTATTCTTACAGTTGGGCTTGGCTACGTTAATCAGCGAGTTACTTCAAAAAGCGTAAGCCTAATTACCATTTTACTGTGCAGTAAAACATAGGTATCCCATTACTTTAGTTGGGTTGGTAAAATTCGAAATGTTAGCTGCCTTTTAAGGGTCACTATGAAAGGGCATCCTGATAACTACTAAGACAACCGACTAAAAGTATTTATTTCTTGATAAACCTCCTTTTCAGATGAAAAAGAAAGCTAATTAGTCATCTTATTTTTTGCTAAGCTGGCCTCCAAAGTCACTCCCTTTTTTATCACTTTATCAAGCTGGTGTAAGCATAGTCTTATGAAGCGTAGTGTATATTTTATTATAAATATCCAAGGTCCACTCTTACTCTTTCCCTTCTAAAGCCAACTCATCTTGGAACTTCAATAAAAATTAACTTTCATCAATTTGTTAGAGCGTTTTTAGAATATCTGTTTGCATTAGCTTACTCCACTGATAAAATAAGACTGAAGTTAACACCTAGATGATATCACAAACTTATTTACTTTTTAACCCTTTGGTTCTGCAAACAGAATGATTGTGATGAGTAATGGAGGTGAGCAGCAAAGTTTATGCTTTTGTAGTTATTATACAAAATCTCATATATGACACCTTCCAGTGATGCTTCCTTCAATAAGAGAAAACATTGTGAACTACAGTCAGTGACATGGATGTAAATTCAAGGGTTTTTGTATACTGATTGGCTTGAGTGGAATCCAAGTCGTACATTTTGTATCATTTAAAACTAATTAAGTCAGAACACCTGCTTTCTATAATGAAAGCGTCTACATCGAGATTTACATTTAGCATAAAATGAAGACCTTAGCAAGTAACACATTTCTTGTGACTGGATTTCATGAGATATTGTTTACTCATTTCACTTTATCGGTGGAAATACTGTCGATTATTAGAATGCGAGCAAAACTAGATACCTGGACGGAAGTGAGATGGAAAAAACACCCTGGACTTCTATGTACCAACCAAAGAATGATGAATGTTCAAAATAACAGAGTTATCGAGTTACAAAACTGTCAGTGTACTATCCGTTTGAAATCTAAACAAAAAATGGAAATTTTATTGAAATTACATATTGGGCAGTTAACCACAGTGAAAGAAAAACTGCCCTATGGTGACAATGTGGAAAGTAGTACAAGAATATCTGTGTATACCTTGCAAGCTTCCTATCCATTTCAACAAATTGGCATTATTACATTGATTTAAACTGAATCTGTGAGTTTATCATTTAAGACACAATACACTGAAATATAGAGATGATTGATAGCTCAAGATGAGAAAGGTAAATTTTTGATGTTTCCTGAACTCTGAGATTTGTTCTGAAACGTTTTATAACGAGACTAAATGACTTGATCAACATTCGCGTCATATCATTCTAACTTTCTATTTGAAGAGTGAATGCATGTATATTAAGTTTGCGCGAAATCCATGATATCTGTGCGGGAAGAGATAAAAATTAAATGTTGTGTTCTAGTCTATTGTTCCTGATAATTTGCTTCTATTAAGTGTCATCAAGGTACAGATGTTGACAGCGTTTCTTGCTAACGATGCATAGATAAAATATCCTCCTAGCTTATACATTTCCAAAAGAAAACAAAATACTTTCATTTTTTGAAAATTAATTATATTCTGAGAAAAACGTCTTCTTCACAAGAACTATACGATAGGACAACAATTCCCCTCATTCATACCAACCAAAAACAAGTGCAAGAAAGGTGGATAAAAATGTCGTGGTATAATGAAAAGAACTTGGCAAATCTACACTAGTGTCAGGTGGATAGATCGGCTTATAGCTTCTAATGATGAGTCATTAGCTTTTTATAATAATTCCATTTCAACTTAAATGAGATAATGAGTAGCTGTAGAAGTCTTCTCACTAACTAAAGAAACAATATCCATTGTGATAGTTGCTTGTTTTATTATCGTGTTAACAACAGTGTTACTCAGCCTATTTAATTGAGTAGTTTCAGTAACCAATCTTGTTGTTTTTCCATAAATCAATGTATAAATGTCAGTGGCTAAAGGGTATCACCCAAATACACCTAGAGTCATACCAAAATGAAACATGAATTCATGATTAGATGGAAAATAAGGTAACTGGATTTGTGATACACTCTCTGAAGGATGCAGTCAATAAGGAAAAGAAAATGAAAACTTTAACAATTGAAATTCTTTTTAAGCACCCCTAAGACATTACGAAATGAAACAGAAAATCACGCATGTCTGTAATTTCTGAAAAAATGTATTGACTAGCGAAACGAAGTTAATTAATACAAATTACCTTTAGGAGTGGAAATAAAATCATATGATTTTTAAAGTAGAAATGTAATTGCGTAGTTCAAGACAAATCTACGGTAGTCAACGCCTTCCGTGAGATATTATGTCGCAGTTCGAAGGGGACGAAAAACTGGCCATATGGTCAAAAATATGTGCTCAAAAAGAGACTTCAGCTGAGCTTTGTGCTTGTTAAACATTGTCGGCTAACCCAGTTTGCAGCCTATGGAAATCTGTTGGCTTTTGTGTTACTTACATCAAATTGGCCTATCACTTTGTTCTCAAAAGCCCTTAATATTCATTTGTGGTAGCGTTGAATCATGAGCCATAGTAAATGTTAATTTCCTCCTTTCCAATATACTTCATCACAGCATTTAAATAAACCGTTGATGATTGATCTCCTTTTACAAAACGGGAGTGAATTTGCGTACTATAATCTAGTTTGTTGTATTTATAAGATGTATTACAAAGTGAGGTAATATAATTTACTAGATAAGGCTTCAGACACAATTTATTATCCATAGTTCTATACTTATATTCCTGAACTAATGTAAATATGAATAAAAAATTGTGTCCGAAAATTTTTCGGTAAGTAATACTGTTTTACTTTGTGACATATTTAATAAACAAGCTGAAATAACCTCATAAACTTCCTGTTCAAAATTGACCTGATAGAGTTGAATAAGTTGGACACTTGGTAAACGGATTATAAGAGAAATATATTCATTAAATCCCAGATTCAACTCATGATCTGTGCCAATTCTATCAAACTATGCATTTAGCTTAGTTACGTGGATGATATATTTATGATTTTAAGAGGAGGACGCTGACGAAATTATTGAATACTCATTCCTGATATATCTAATTCTTATCTGAATATGAAAATGCCAGTGTTGAACTACCACCTTTACATTACTTAGTTAAAAGGAATGGAAACTTTAGTTTATGGATTTATTGTAAGTCTACTTTCACATTGACGTCCTTATTTATACTCATCACATCTACTCACTGCTAGACTTACAGTTGGTCAAAATTTGTTCAAGAGGACCACAAAGCTTGTCATGGATGTAGTAGATAAAAAAACAAATGCAAAAGTATAATCAATTTCTTGCATTCTGATAAATTGCGCGAGAAAATCATTCAAAAGATTAAAAACCATGATCAGGAGAATCCAAAACAAAAGCCAAATGATGCATTTTGGATTGTTACAATAGTTCTACTTTTCCGCCAAGATAAAACTGAAGAGCTATAAATGATTTTAAGAAAGCACTGAGTCAGAGCATTCTAAAAGTCAACCGTCACTCTAAGGAATGCTTCAGTTCACCTCAAAGGTAGAATTCCCTTTACATTCACATGGAATTGTGTCTGGACTTCACATTGTGTCCCTTTTGATGACAGTTAAACTAAAGAATCATTTTGAGGAACCCTCATTTGAGTTGAGGAATATGCAACGTACACCAAACGACTAGGAGAGATGAATTACTGAGTCTTTTGGCATTATTTTGATACCTAATTGACTCAAACAGAAGGAAAGATCTAAATATCCACCAAACTCGGAAGCTGTTTTTGAAATAGTACGTTGCACAGGCTAATTGTAGTTGAATTTCTCAGTCAAGTTACTTCTCATCTACATTCAAATTCATTTACTTATGCACACACTTTCACATCTCTACCTCGAACTCACGGACTGATAACTGATAAACATAATTTTTGTTCCCATATCATTGTCATGTATCAACAAGGTAATTCGATTTGCCGCCACTTACTGTTTAAATATTCCGCAACTTGTATGTGTTTTATTCTCTGAAGAAGTGGCTTCCATAAAGTTGCTACACGCCAGTTTATTTTTCTACCTCACTTGGGCTTTACAAACTTATTACGTTTATAGCATGATCTTAGTAATAATAATCACTCTATCCTAAACAATTTTCGGTACAATTTGGAATTTTTCAGCATAGTGAATTGCAACGAAAAAACTACATATATATATATATATACATATATATATATATATATATATATATATATGTTAGTTGAATGGAGGCAATCGGCGGGAAGAGCTGCTTGACCTAGGTTTAATGCTTGCTGGCACTCGCAAGCAAGGCGTACCTGCAACCCCGATGGGACTGATGTCCCACCTGAGATTTGAACCCACGTCACCCATTGTTGTAGTTAGCTATCTTATAAGT